TCACATGAACAGAAGTCTGCATTGTTTTACTGATAAATAACTTTATTTTCACCCAAACATTCTATCATTACAATGGTAAACGAAGTGCAAATTATCAGAACGTCAACTGAAGTCAACAGAACTCAAACTTGTTAAACAAACCCTTTTCATAGAACACAGATTTTTAAATTTTATCCCCTTCACATCTGCAAGGCCATGTAGTAGTTACATTTCTCTTCAAAGCCTGTTACTTATATTATTGCTAAAGAATCTGAGCTGCTACATTTCAGAAGTGGTGATTAATCATCCTTTGAAAATTCCACAAGGCTCTGAGACACAAAATCATGGATCCATACATCAGTTTCTGGAAGCGACGTGTCCACGAGAAAAGTCACTATTTTTCGATCCCAAGGGTTAGTGCTTTCGGTAACTGCCTGTATCTGTGCCACCAAGGGCTTCTTCTCTACAAGGTTCCGAAACACTATTGATGCCTCTTCTGACCACTGCTGGCTTTTCACTCCTAGGACAAATGTAAAGCAAAACAGAAGGTCATTTCCAGACTAGACCTGTCTGAATTATTAAGTTCATAAAGAACTTAATAATTTGGGGGAATTTAAATACTTGAGAAAACAGATGTTCAAGTGCTACTGAATGCAGCTTAACTCTAGAAAAGAAACGCAAGCTTACTCATCTCCCACACAAACAAGCTTAGTTAATACAGAAACTAAGACATTTATTTATTCTTGAAGTCTAAAGATGTGGACAAGTTTGCAGAAGTGAAAGGCAAATGCAGACTCGCTGAGTAATTCAAAGTATATCAGCTGCCATGCGTGATCAACGCATATTAGGAAACGTGACAAAATGGAAACTAAAGATCCTTTCAAAACAACGTATTTCTTTGCCTTCTGCCTGAGGGTGCTGACATTATTTGTCCTCTTAGCTTTGCTTTAGATTAAGTTTTCTTCATATCAAAGCAGCATCAGCTACTAAAACATCTGACAAACCTTCAAGTACCAAACTAGATCTGCAGAGAGCAGAAATGAAGAGAAATGCTGCTTAAATGCTTCGCAACTGCTCTTATTTTTTTTGAGACCAGCATCCCACAAAGTCAAGTCTACTCAGGGATGTGATGCCAGAACCCAAATGGGTTTTGGAATATGCCTGTAATCCACCACAGAAGAAGTGGCTCCTGCAGACTTGGAATTCAGTCTCCCCAAACCGCATAAACACAAGGGGGTCAAATATCATGCATGAATAACCAAACAATAAATTATGGATAAAAGAAGCGAAACAGCAAAGTAACAACACTTTGCTTTTACTATTAGCAGCAGCTTGCTGCTGATAGGACAGGACAACACAGGAACACAGCTCCTTGCAGATTACAGAAGGAATGAGAACTCAACAGTTAAGAAAGGGTAATTAATGCTAGGAAAGGCTGGTGGGGAAGCAAATGGGATTTTACAATGAAATAGACCAAAGACTGAGAGGTAGCAGACATGGGAAAAAAAAAAAAAAGTGGAAGTATAGCAAGACAATAGTTACCAGTCTTCCGGGCTCAGCTGGCCTGCTTTGACAATATGAAGCAGCTCAGAGGCCAACTTAACTAGCTACTTGGGATTCTGTGAAGCAGGAAAATTGGATGACGTGTAGGCTTGCTCAGCTGGATCCTGTACTACCCCAGCAGACAGACACAGCTAGAGATCAGCTTCACTTCAGCACTGTACTCCTAGGACCCCAAGCCTGTCGGTAACACATCCATCATCACTAGTTTAAAGCAACCCTCAAGGTCACACCGAGGCTACGCAGGAAAGCAGATCCACACAAAGCAACCTAAGATCAGAGCACCGACTCCGTGGCCTGTCACTTCAGACAAGCATGTAACTGAAGTCTAGACTAGTGCTGACCAAACAGCAGCAGAAAGCAGCAAATGAACAGGAAGAGACGCATACATCTGAAAGCAATGCAGAAACGAAAGAAAAATTTGGAAAAGAGAAGAAAAGACAGCATGGAGAGAATGAGTTTAATTTTTTAATTCTATCAGATGTATGCACACTCTCTATGCCATGCCCCATATTGCCAAAGAAATTAATCTTACTTAAATTTGTTGAAAGCCCCCACCCCGCTTGTGGAGTGTGTTTGTTTGAGAACACCAATATTTTTCAGGCAACTTTGGATTCCAAATATGCACTGGTAAACAATAAATTACAACAGGGGCAAGAACATAAGAAAAACTTCTCCAGAAACTCAGCATCTACTTCCTCACTTTATGTAGAACTTAAGTTCTTATCAACAGACATATCATAACTTTCACCCTTTGTAATGGGTTATGCGTAAGGATCCAATTTAGTTTTGATTTCCTCGTGTCCTTTGCATATTAGACATCACACACAATAAATTATAAATAGTTACAACGAAAAGCATCTGCTTGGGAAAGTTTAAGCAACCTTCAGTTTTATACATCGTAACTAAAAGTGCTGCATTAAAATAAGGAGATAATAAGACACAACTTAGAAAATAATTAAGAAATAAGTGCCAGCTATGTTAAGAAGAAAAGCAGTGCTGCTTTGATGACATGAACATGCATGTACTAAGCATGTTTTTGCAAGTGGGCATATGCTTACTTCAGCAAAAATCAATTACATCACCAACCTTTGGCTTTGTCCACTTTACATTTATGTTCACTTGGCATTCCCACTGATGCAAGACTTTAACAAAATTATAAATGCTTACTACCTACCTGCAAGCTGAGCTGTTATAGCTTGGAAAGGTAGTTTTCTAAATGTATCCATGAGTGGTCGTACTTTCTCTATGCTGACAAACTCATGTTTACCATAGTCCAGCTCATATACCGACAAAAAACCATTTCTAAGAATTCCTTTTATTATGACCCTGTACCACCTAAAAAGGGGGAGAAAGAACAGACAGTTTGAATCCATACTCACACACTGCCAAGGCCCCTGAAAAATAATACACAACCAAAAGATCTTAACCAGCCTGCCTCAGGCTTCCCAGATCTGGTGTTATCTGAACAGAAGTCAACTCTTCCAACTACAATCCAGAAGCACGAAGAGACTGCAACCTCATTTACTCTCTTAATCTCCCAGATGCCGCTGGACATCTGCCACCTTGTTAACGATGTGGACAAAGCAGACCTAGGCTTGCCTAGCTTAGCAGCTAACCTTCAAGCTTAGCTAAGCTTGCCTTCAAAGACCTTGTTTTTAATTTAAGTATCTACTTACTGATTTCCAATTTTAGCTGCGTACAGCTTGTTTTTTTCAACGTCCACAGATTTCCCTTCTGACCTGCTGTAGTACAAGATCATTTCTTCCATCAGGGCTTCCAGATGATGTAGCTCTTTCCAAGGCTGGACAATAAAGTGACCTGGATGGCAAGCCACTGAGACATAGACGTCCATGAGCTCACCAATCTTTAATAAGGGTAGAGGTGGAGGCATATCAATGGTAGACACTGCACTGCTGGATTCTCTGGCTGAATCAAAGTGACTCTTCTCCAATTTTCCACTAGTTAACACAGCATCACTTGTCACTTTTGTGGAGCTTGTCCCAATTGGTGTAACACTCAAGGAAACATCTTTCTGATGCTTCCACAAGTCTGCATTTTTGATCTGTTGATTGACACTACGATCCATGTCTGGGAAATTCTCTGGAGCAAACAAGTAAACATGTGTAGTTCCCTTTGAACCATCTTGTTTAACCACCTTGGAAAACAAAATACAGTTTAACTTCTAGTTAGTAAATATTAAATGCACATCTGATTTTTTACAGAAGACTAAAGCCTTCAACAGAAAAGGGGCAACAGTTCATTGCATTCTATATGCACTGAAGTATTTTCAAGATTCTCTCAAAGATGCTGGACAGTAAGCAATTCGCAGCAGCTAAAAAGAGCATTTGCAGATATTCCACTGATGTAAAGTAAATACAAAGCTTGAACTGAGTTTTGTTCTGCCCAACAGGTTCAATCTCAGTACTGTGTGTACAAGTCTAGTGTTCAGCATAATAATAACCACTGTCCATACAGACCTAAACAAGTAAGTAACACTATTAAATATTAACACTTAATCCTTCAAAATTATCTTCCTGTCATTATGAGAAATGAAGCCTAGTACACTACAGATGGGGAAAAATAAAGGTGAAAAAAGCTTTCAGGTTTGTATGATGCATAATTTTCAAGCAACAACATTAAAATGTTTCCTATTTAACACCAGACATGCTAGCAAAAGCAGTGATATTTCAGTGATAGCAAAAGACTGAAATTTTAATTTAACTAAATATACAACATTTCTTTACAGATTTCCTCGCAAAGAATAAAAATTTTCCACAATTAAACCATACATACTATTTAATCAAGCAAAAATTAGTACCAAACAAACTGATTTGGAAGAGGATGTTTGCAAGAGCCAGATGCAACAGACTTAAGTCACAGACCAGAGGAGCTGTATTTTGACTATATAGTCTCCAGTGTTAAAGGAAGCAAAACCATAAAATAAAGCTATAAAACATTTTTTCAAAGTGCTGTGATGGTATCTGAAACCAGATTTTTAAGAGGAATCAGCTTTGTTTAGTCTGTAGCTAGTAATATACCTCCTTTAGAAGGGTGTTTTCAGTTAATTAAACTGGATAGGATACATTGCAAGTGGAAATAATTTTATGTCAGAGATAACAAATTCTACCTGTACAATAGCATATACTAAGTCACACTGGATTGGAAAAAGCAAACAAAAAACAAAACCAAACTACTTTCCAAGATTTTCCAAGAGAAAAAGCTATGCTCACATGTGACATAAAAATAAATTTGATTAACAATTGTACCTTTTTATGTGGTGAAACATTTAACAGCTCTGCTTCTTTCCTACCAGTTAGACTGTGACAGCAAAATGTGAAAGGCTGATGTGAAAGCTGCTGAATTCTCGAGACGCAAAGAGAAGCTTCTAACAGGGTTAAGCAATTAATTTTTATGCCAAATGTCCTGAGAAAAGGATTTGGTATAGAATTTATGTCCAAGACCTGGCTACAAACTTTTTAACTTATATAACAAAAAAATAATTTAATGAGGGGTTAAGCTTATAGAGTTGTTCTTCAAATGCTCTTTCCACACATGGGCACTCTGACTCTTTACCTTCATGTTAAATTCAGGACAATTCATTACAGTGTCTCGCAGACACAGTACAGCATCTGGAGTCCACATGCCAGTGTTAGGAGGAAGATCTGCTAGGCAGCATTTTATAGCCTAAAAAGAGAATTAAGTGTACAAGGTATAGTTTAGTAATATGGAAACTAGACCACAAGTTCCTACTCTCAGAAACTTTACTAATGCTGACAGATTCAACAAAGTGTGACAAACAGAAAGAGACAGAGGAACAAGCAAAACCTGTATTATTACACACACATGACATCCTGTTGGTGCACAGCACTACACTGTGATTTATTGCAGGGAAAGATACACAATGAAACACACTTTGATGCTGAGTGTTATTAAAACCCCAAAAAATTTCATTATATTAACCCTGAAATAAGAGCGCTATAAATATTGCCAAGAGATCTAGCATAGGTTATCTTTAACATGTCTTTATACCTGAGGAGGTATTGCAATTACTTCTCTCAGAAACTGTGGTGGGATTTCTCTAAGCTCTGACACTTTCACAGTTGCAACTGTTCCAGTATCCATGAACTGCACATCAAGTGCCCGCCTAGTGTGAATAATTCTGATCTGAAAAAAGAAAGCAAGAGCACCATTTTGAGTTTAAAAACACAACAGTGGCAACACAAACTATGTTTCATGGAAACTGTGGATTTGGATTTAGCTGAACAGAAAGAAACATTTCTTTGTGGGAAAATTGTAGATGTTCTTTGAATACTTCTTACCTCTACACGTGCCCATTTTCCTTTGGAAAGAAACAAGCAGATTTTGCCACAGAAAGGTAATGATAGATTAAGTTCAGATGTCTGCTGCAAATATAAAAACAGATGTCAAAAAACATGCAGCTACAACTATCTAGCACTCAACTAACCATTTTATAAGTCGCACATGGAATAAACAGTTCTGAGAAGCAAATACTCTTGTTTCAACTATAAAGTCTCTTTCAAGCCTCAGAAACATTTCTTATCAGGTTGGCTTAAGCTCCCCCAATCCGTAAAGCTTTAATTCCAAGCAGTCTATTTTACAGGAAAACTGCGAGAATATAAAAAGCAGCCACTTGAAAACAATGAATATGAAATCACTGACTGTTACTTTAATGATCTGAAAAGCAGGAGCAGTTTAGAGCTGTGACAGACAACTGAAGGAGCTCCTATCTTATATTCTAGAACACATAATTTGTTGAGGGATTTAACAAACCAAATCTACTACTGACTCAAACAAAAATCTCATGGGTGTGACATTGACCACAATGATCCTAATCAACATAATAAGACAACAGTTACTCTATAAGAAGCATGAAAAAACTCAGTTTGGAGACCTATCAACACGTTAGTTAATTTAAATTCACAGGTAGAATAAAACCCCTCAAGACAAGCTGCAAATTCAAGACTGCTCTGTTTACCCCCATACACAGACTGATATTAAAATATTCTGAATGTCAAGGTCTTGCTTTGATAGCAACAAGGAACTAACATACACTCCATCCAGAACATCTGAACATTTGAAATACCTGTCTGGCTGCCTGCCTTTGTGCTGCTAAACCTTTCAGGGTTCTACATGCTGTCCTTCAGTACTTAACTTGTTTGAAACTGCATCTGGGTAACTGAGACATATGCAGTACAAAGTATTTCCAGATGGTGTGTGTTCCACAACTGGTCCAAAGCTCAACTTGTACAACTAAAACCACTTTGACAGAGTAGTTTCACAAGCAGCAGTCCTAACAGGACCTTCAAGGACCTTAATTTCATGGTTTGATTCTTTAAGGCTTAGTTGAACATTGAAAAAATTGCATTCTCTTAATATTTCTTCTCTTTTGTATGACTTATGTTGAGTCTGGTAAAGGTTGGTGCATATGTCTGTAAATGGCTGGTGAAATATCAGAATTCTCTGCCATATGCTTACTTTAAAGCAACTTAGGACTTTTGAAAACATCAGTTTTACTTGGAATTAGCCACAACACTGAAAAGCTAAGGGTACAAAGACAAGTTATGCAGCAGGTCAGATCAAAGGCACTGAACCTCTCAGGAAGCCAGGCAAAAAAGAACAGACCTTGGTTACACTGCTTTTATTGCCACTTTGCATGGTGAGCTGTGAGCCAGGCTGTTTATGCACCTCAATTCCATCATGTAAGTAAAAATTTCAGAAAAAAAACCAAACCATCATTTATCTCCATAGGCGTTATACCAATCCAGTGTAATTTCCATTGGAAGCTTCCCATTATGACCCATATTGTTACTGTTCCAACTGTTCAACAAAATTCCTAACTAGTTACTGAAGTCTTAGAGACACCCTGGGAACATGAAAGCACCAAAAGACACTTATGCTGAAGGATGCACCTCATCAAACCAGGAAGAGAAATTACAGCCTTCTTGAATAGTCCATGGCTACCTCAGAAACTTGAACTTATGTGGAAGGAAAATGATAGTTACACTCTGAAGAAAGACGACTTGACTTCATTACTTGTCTCAACATAGAGCCTACCTTGTAAAGGAAGAAGTCTTCTATTTTCTGCAACATTTCAGAAAGTCTGGACAAGCCTTTAGATGGCACTTGGCAATACAGGCTTCCATCAGAGAAAACACTGGTTACTCTGACATTTGTATATAGTGCATCTACCTACAATGGTAAGATTTTGACAAGAAACAGGGAAAAAAGAAACCGAACACAAACTTAAATTTCTGAGTGCTGTTTTTTTGTCCATCCAAGATCTTAGCAGTCAATGTTCTGTAACGAATTAAGCAGGGAACAGGAAAGCAGTACCTGTAGGTGCAGTTCAAGGGACTTGTCATACAATGCCTTGAGACAAGTAGCATTGATGTTGATATCGTCTTCTCCAGAAGTGTCATAGAGAACAAGAAGAGGAGTATCACTCTCTTCCAGTATTTCCACAGCAAATATCTTGAAGCATGCCTGTGATTCCACAGCCTTTACTAGGACAGGATCATCACAGAAGACTTCCAGTCCTGTAAGACACATCATATTATGTATTCAAAGTGAAAAATAACAACCAGGTCTGTGTGCACAACCAGAATCTTTCCAAGAATCAGGATATAGCAGGCAATTTGTAATGCACTCCTACTTGCAAGCTGCTAATTTCCACCTTTTCACCACAGGCAGACATTTTTGAAGGAAGGGGGGGGGAAAAAAAAGGAGAAAAGATAAAGATCTTCTTCAGAAGGAGTCGAAGTAAATGTGTAAAGAAAAAAAGGAATGCAACCAAGTATTAAAAAATAATCAAACAAAAGCTCATTCATGGCAGTTTTATATATTTAAAATAAAATATAACTAATTTTTAAAAGCTAGAGATGTGTTGTGGTTTGAGGCTTGAAGTGGGGGTGTGACCTTTCAGCACCTGGGAGGGCCCCAGATGGGGGTGAACTGTGTATTCCCTCCCCTTCCAACACACCCTGGGGAAGAGGCAGGAAGTGGGTGCCAGCTCTCCTTCTGCCCT